CATGTACATTATTGACCAAAAATTAAGTCATCATAGTTGAGGTATATGTATGCTATATGCAAAGAAGTTGCTTATGTTTTTTTAAAAAGTATTTCATAAGAGTGGTTGTAAACAAATCTACTTATCTAGTTATACCTTAGAATTTAAAAAAACCTCCTTTTATTGTCAAAAAACAATTAGATATTTCAGAGAGAATTTAATTGGGAGAAGAGGAAGGAGATGCCAGACAGGTGCAGCACTTAGACAACAGCAGAGATGTGGCTGTGGAACACTCCAGAAGCCCCTTCATTATTAATATGTGTTTGTTGCATCTATTTGAGAATCTGTCTCCTTATCTACCTATCTGGCTAGCTATCACCTAATTATTATTTTAATTCTTTTCAAGAATAGCCTCAGAAGTCTGATTTTTTAAAAAAGGTTACTTCTGAATTTCTTTCTTTCTTTCTTTCTTTTTTTTTTTTTGAGACAGAGCTTCAATCTGTCACCCTGGGTAGAATGCAGTGGCATCATAGCTCACAGCAACCTCCAACCCCTGGGCTCAGGCGAGTCTCCTGCCTCCACCTCCCAAGTAGCTGGGACCACAGGCCCCTGCCACAGCACCCGGCTATTTTTTGGTTGCAGCCGTCATTGTTGTTTGGCAGGCCAGGCTGGATTTGAACCCGCCAGCTCAGGTGTAGGTGGCTGGTGCTTTAGCCACTTTAGCCATAGGTGCCGAGCCCTTCTGAATTTCTTAAGATAATTTTTTTCCCTAAATATTGGATACTTATTTGAAGAGAAAAGCTACTTACCAAATGTGGAGTTGCTTAGTGGACAGTGGATACCAGGACAGCATTTGTGCCAGTGTGTCAGGATCATCTCAGTCTGAGATAAAGGTTTGGGATTCTGTGATCTCATCTCAGTGGGAGGTAATTATCTTTTCACCAGTAATTGCAGTGACAGTGTCTGCATGGAGAGTTGAGATTACCTCTGAGAATATGTGTGGGTGTTGTCAGCTTCTGACAGCTATTAAAAATGAGTAATAAAGACAAACTTTATTGGGTTTGGGTGACTTTATTGTCACCTCTTTCTGGATGGCAGAAAGAGGTAAGAAAACCAACTTCTGAAATAAACAAAATCCCAATGGAAGATAAGCACAAGACACAGAGATATATTATAATAAGCGAGAGAGGAAAACTAAGTACATGTCTACCTAAAATTTTTAATGAATTTAAATAATTTATCTCCAAAATTTGATACCTTTCTATTCCTGTGAGCACAAAGGGCAGCAAAATTGAAGGAAGAGACAGTGAGTCAGTAGAGTAGCAGAGTTTTCAGGATGGTGCAAAAGAACATTAAATCTGTGTTCTTGTATTTGTTGGGTATTTCAACAATTTTTTTTATGCCTTACATGTTTCAGTCATGTTTCAAAGCATATGGGACAGATGTATCAGTGTACAAAACATAAAAGGTAATTTTTCCTCATGAAACCTACATTGTAATTGATGGAAATAGCCAATGAGCAACTCATCTATTTTGTAATTAGCACATTCTGTATGTGATGAGGTAGGGAAACCACGATGGATTGGGTGCAATAGGAAATTGGATCTCCAAGTATGGATTCACAGTGAAGGTGATATTTGAAGAAAATATTTTAAACTGCTGAGGAAGTGCATTTTTATTTCTTACTTTCTAACACTTTCATTATCTTGCCTTCTTGCAATTAGTAGGACTTCCAGTATATATAGAATAAGAATGCAAAGGTCAGCCACCCTCTTTTTGTCATAACTTCATGGGAATATTTTAATAAGGGACTGTGAGACATACTATTTGCTATAGATTTTTTTTTTTTTGAGACAGAGCCTCAAGTTGTCACCCTTGGTAGAGTGCCATGGCATCACAGCTCACAGCAAATTCCAACTCCTGGGCTTAAGCAATTCTCTTGCTTCAGCCTCCCAAGTAGCTGGAACTACCAGGCATCTGCCACATGCTTGGCTATTTTTTGGTTGCAGTTGTCATTGTCATTTGGCAGGCCCAGGCTGGATTTGACCCTACCAGCTCAGGTGTATGTGACTGGCACCTTAGCCACTTGAGCCATTATAGATTTTTTTTTTTTTTTTTTTGAGACAGAGTCTTAAACTGTCACCTTGGGTAGAGTGCTGTGGCATCACAGCTCACAGCAACCTCAAACTCTTGGGTTTAAGCAATTCTCGTGCTTCAGCCTCCCAAGTAGCTGGGACTACAGGTGCCTGCCACAATGCTCGGCTATTTTTTTTGTTATTGTTGTTACAGTTGTCATTGTTGTTTTAGCTGGCCCAAGCCAGGTTCCAATCCACCAGGTTTGGTGTATGTGGCTGGTGCCCTACCCATTGAGCTATGGGTGCCACCCTGCTATAGATTTTTGAAGTTGTTATTTGTAACTTTAATAAAGATCTAGTGTAGCCTCATTTTCACAAATCTATATTTATCCACCTATCATCTATCTAATTATTTTTGAATACATGAAGAGTTGAATGTGGAACACTGTATCCATTAATGAATATTTTAGCATTGGTTTTTTTTCTTTTTTTTTTTTTAATAGCAGGCCCAGGCTGGGTTTGAACCCATAGCATGTATTTCTTTTTCTTTCTTTCTTTTTTTTTTTTAGAGACAGTTGCTCACTTTATTGTCCTTAGTAGAGTGCTGTGATGCCTTCTGGGCTTAGGCGATTCTCTTGCCTCAGCCTCCTGAGTAGCTGGGACTACAGGCGTCCACCACAATGCCCGGTTATTTTTTTGTTGCAGTTTGGCCAGGGCCGGGTTCAAACTCACCCGCCTCAGTATATGGGGCCAGTGCCCTACCCACTGAGCCACAGGCGCCACCCACCATAGCATGTATTTCTTAAATAAATGGATATTATCCTAACATAAGAGCACAATACTCAAAAGCTAGAAGTTTAATATTGATACAGTGGTATTGTGTAATTCAGACTATATTCAAATTTCATCAATTGTCCCATTAAAATGGATTATAGCACTTTTCCAGTCCAGTGCTAAATATACTGAAGTGCATTTACTTCTCAAGTGACTTTAGTCTCTGTTGCTATGAAATTGTTTCTCACCTAATTTTAGATTGCCTTTTTCTTGCTTATTTTTTAGTTGTAGTCTGCTTATTCTGTAAAATTCCCTCAGATGGTGTGTAGTGAGGCACCCTTGTGATTAGGAAGTTTATGTATATTTTGGCAAGGATACAGAAGAAATGATGCCATGTCCCTCTCCATGCATGAGGAAGCACCCTATGTCTGCGTGCACACTTTTGGTGATGTCAACTTCAGTCGCTTTGATACAGTGACAACTCTCAGGTCTCCCTACACAAATGTTGCCATTTTTCCTGTATAACTCTAAGTTATTAGTGAGGAGTTTTAAAAAAATACATAAAATTTCATTTCCTCACCAATTTTTCATTCTACTTGGTTGACCAGCAATTGATGGTTATCTAACCGGTCAGTTTGTTTATATTTTACTTGGCATTCTACAGTTACATAGAATTTTCCTTCCCCCTTAATGATTGAGTTACTGATTCATGCATTTGTATTTCTGTGAACCCACGGATATTTTGTTTCTTTAACCAAAATTAAGGAGGTATAATTTCTAATTAATAAAATACAAAGCAATAAAATTCACTAACTCATAGTGTACATTTTAGTAAGTATTGACAAATGTATATGTCCTGTGACTACCACCATAATCATGACACAGATTCCCAGTACTCTATAGGGATTCCTATACTTTGTGCATTCTTTCACTCTACTTTTTTCCATTTCTAGATTTTCTTCAATAACTTTGAAGGGTTGACTAGGTGCTGACATGTACATAGCTTCCCAAGGGAAGTACTTCAAAGGTGACCATAGTATATTCAGCAATGAGGTATGTAGCCCTTTTTCTAGGATGAGTTCACAAACTTAACTGTTGGAGCTTTGTATGTTCATATACATGAACAAGTTTATTTGGAAGGACAAAAAGGGAAAACCAAAAACCCCACTCATCCATTAACAGATGAATAAATAAACTAATAGTGCTATGTCCATACAATAGAACATTATTCAGAAATAAAAAAATGAACTATACACACCTGCAACTTGGATGATACTAAAAACAATTATGAATTGTGAAACCAAATATCATTAAACAGCTTAATATTCCAATTGTATAAAATTCTAGAAAATGAAAACTAATCAGATATGAAAGTAAGCATATCAGTGGTTTCCTGGCAGTCCAAGGAACAGTGAAGGATAAATATGGGAATGACAAACATGTTTAGTATCATGATTATGATGGTTTCATGGTTTTATATACACATTAAAACTTACCAAGATGTACATTTAAAATACATTTATTTTACTTCAAATATCAATTACAATTCAATCAAGTTTTAAAAGAAATACCTCCACATGAAAATCTAAATCTCCCCCTTTTGCCACCCTATGGTTAATTACACCATCTTTTCTCCTCTATGAAAGGGGAGAATAGTGAGAGTAGTGAGACAGGGAACTGACAAGTACTGTTTTGGGTACAGCCAGCATTGTCTTGGGCATTGCTGCAGCAGTACCTAACTGAGTTAGAAAGTCTTTTTTTTTTTTAATTTTTTTGAGACAGAGCCTCAACCTGTCACCCTGGGTAGAGCGCTGTGACATCACAGCTCATAATAACCTCCAACTTCTGGGCTCAAGCGATTCTCCTGCCTCCACCTCCCAAGTAGCTGGGACTACAGGTGCCTGTCACAACACCCGGCTATTTTTTGGTTGTAGCCATCATTGTTGTTTGGCGGGGCCAGGCTAGAATTGAACCCGCTAGCTCAGGTGTATGTGGCTGGCGCTTTAGCTGCTTGAGCCACAGGCGCAGAGCCAGTCAGGAAGTCTTTTTTTTTTTTTAATTACATGCAATTGCTTATTAACATTTAGAAATTCCACTAAGTTCATAGCATTACCCACAATAAGCTTTAATAATGAACTATGCCTTATGAAAATGCATCAAATCACTAAAATTTGTTATAGCCATTTTCAGGGACCTTAACAACTTCAATGTCCGTAAGGCTCGTAACATGGCTTTACTATTGCTTGCTTTAGAGTCAGGAAGTCTTAAAAGAAAGTTTCAAATTACCCTGATCAAAACAAGATGGAGGCAAGTTCTAACCTGTTAGAACAAAGACAGTGGAAGAACACTGCCCCTTCCATAAATAGTCCTTCCCTTTTTAGCCTATTGCTTAAATAGAAAGACAACAGGAATGAGAGAGCTGACTCTCTTGTACAGGGAGAACTTGTCTCTGCCCTATCTGTGGAGTAGACTTTATATACTTTCTAAGTAACTCTCACTTTCAGTCTTTTGTTGTTGTTGTTGTTTTGAGACAGTCTTACCCATTTGCTCTGAGTAGAGTGCCATGGTATCATAGCTCACAACCACCTCAAACTCTTGGGGTCAAATGAGTCTCCTGTCTCAGCCTCCCAAGTAGCTGGTACTACACCCACACTGCACCAGCTTTTCTGTTGTTGACTCACTCCTGAATTCTTTCTTGCACCAAGCCAAGGATCCACTTGGATCTGCAGTGGCTGCCTTAAGTCGGAGTCACTTTCCTGCATGAATAGCAGCAAAGACTAGCAAGCAACAAAGGATGTTTCCAATTTAAATTTAGTCACCAGGAATTCTGCTTGGGTCATTAAAAACCATATGCTTAAACTACAGGATTTCATTCTCTGATTTGCCCAATTGCTTTGGGCAGTGGGCCTTGAGATGAACAATGTGGAGATGCTATAGGAATCCCTAAAACATTTACATTATTTTTTTTTGAGACAGAGTCTCAAGTTGTCCTCCTGGGTAGAGTGCCATAGCATCACAGCTCACAGCAACCTTCAACGCCTGGGCTCAAGCGAGTCTCCTGCCTCCGCCTCCCAAGTAGCTGGGACCACAGGCGCCCACCACAACACTTGGCTATTTTTTGGTTACAGCCATCATTGTTGTTTAGCAGGCCCGGGCTGGATTCAAACCTCCCACCTTAGGTGTATGTGGCTGGCACCTTAGCCACTTGAGCCACAGGTGCCGAGCCCATTTACATTATTTAAATTAGCAATGATGTTGGCCACAGAGAGAGATAGCTCTCTAGGTCCTGGGAACTTCTGCAAAATCTTTATCCTAGGTCCCTGAAATATTTGTGGATGCAACTTTAGAACAGTTTGCTAATCTATTAATAATATTCAGTGTTTCTGAATTAAGTATGATCCTTATCTGATGCAGCCTGAATATTAGTGACACCAACCTACTAAATTCTGGACATTATGGCACATGGCTCCTTTGCAGGACCTAGAGTACAGCTTCCTAACAGTGCTGGGTATTATGTCACACCCATGTGAAAAAGCACACCCATTTTGTGCTATTCCTAAAAGCACTGGTGGTCCTTCCAGCTGTCCATATCTCTGGTGATCTCTGGATCCACCAAAAAAAAAAAAAAAAAACCAGATCACAAGATTAGTCCAACAGGCTCGGCGCCTGTGGCTCAAGTGGCTAAGGCGCCAGCCACATACACCTAAGGTGACAGGTTCAAATCCAGCCCAGGCCTGCCAAACAACAATGATGGCT